TCACAACAAAATTCAGGCTTGCGAGTCAAGTAGTTTTTATTTTATGTTTCAGTATTTGCTATTCTCATTTCGTCTTATACAATGAATTCTCAGCCAATAAGTGAGCTCTGCTAATTTTTGGAGTACTCGCTTCCAAGTCGATTCGAGCTCTACACATCGGCAGACGACCTAATGTGTTATTGAGCTTCCATGAAGTCTCTAAATACATAAAATTTAAAAAGTAAAATCCACTAAGACCTTGACTGAGTAACCTGATATATATGCCTCGCTTCAGTAAACAGCTTCATTATTATGCCATGTTGTATGAACAGTTTTTGCTCAGTTGTTACGATTATGCGGAATCCAGGTCCTGGGGACGCTAGCCATATGCCGCCATGTCGTCAATTTCAGTTGACGGAAAAATATTTTCCCCTTTATTCTGATGCGTCAACCACCGCATGATACAAGCCAAGGCTGGAATTTATCGCAGACCTAGAGTGTCCCAGTCTCTACGAGCCAGGAAGCTTATGGGAATGTTTGTATAAAATATTGGCTACTGGAAATGAGTCATCCACTTTAAAGTCTAATTTCATAGCTTATTGGAATTGCTAAGATGTAGATTATGTTGATTAGGTATAGGCTGTTCAGCCCTTTGCTGTGCTTTGTAAAGATATTCGCGAACGTATTCCCTCATGTTATGCGCTGAAATAGACACATTTTAGGTGCTTTGGTCAACTAAAGGTCGCGATGATTTTAGCCCATTCTCCGATTATGTAATGTTTTCTACCGGGTCTTAATGCGAATCTTGGAAAAATTTACAGCGAAAGTGTCTCACAGGAAGTGTAAACAGGAATGAAGGAAAAATTAGATTCATTTTTAACACAATGATATAATCGGCCATTAGATTGCCATTGTTAATACCAAAGGTATGCAAACACAGAATTTATGGATGTAGCCAAGAGTCAAAGCCTGGTTAAGATTCGATAGTCCTTGATGAAAAAATGTTTTTGCCAAGGATATGTGCGGAATAGCTTCCTATATGGCTCCCATTCTGCACTGTCACGGTTCGACTCCCGCTGGGGGTGTTGATAAGACCAAAGTGAGGTCGAAGCTGCAGTCCACCCTGGATGAGAACAACTTTTGGGAAAGCAAGGCAATGTGAAATACAATGGAAACATTAGCTCTACTCATATTAATGTGGGAAAATTCTTCTACCAGTCCTTCATCACCTTAAACGAAATTGGGTGAATACATCTCACAATCTTTTTAATTTGTAATCGTATAGACAATAAGCATTTTAGGAGATTATTCCTCAAACTATAACTAGATAGCTAGATAGATAGCTAGATAGATGGATAGTTATGAGTATATAATATGAAAATTAAGTTTGTTAAAACGAACTGTGGGTCTTTCTGAAGCTTCGCAACACCATAAATGCTATTCGTTTAATGACCCACATGACATCCTAGGCTATTTCCACATCAGCTCGAGTCAGACTAGCCAAATAGGTTTAGAAAGAATGAAGAGGCGAAGATGGTGACCACAGGACATAAGCAAGTCCAAAAGTCCCTGGAAATTCCCTAAGACGGAGCAAGCAGAGTCACTTGGCCAGTTCACAATAATAGGATAGCACAATCGCGTAATAGTCACCTTGAAATCGACATACTCTCTGAGAATGGAAATGTTTTCGTGAAGATCCAACTTGGTAAAATAAGGCCCCATCTACAATTAGTAGTCTCTGAGTCCCATGTTGGCTTTTACGAGCCAACTGGAAGCATAGGAGATGCTCTGTCTACTTCAGCAAATTGCAAAGGTAGGCCGTCTGGAATGTAGACGATTCTGAATGGAATGAAGATCTCCTGTTAACCTAAGTGGCCATTAGGGCACAATATGTATTGCCCAGAGAAATGAAATAGCCGACCACCACGACGATCTGCCCTCTAGTCCTAAATGAATGCAGATAAATGACTATTATTTTCGATATCACTTTTCAAGACTATCAATACTTTTTGAATTAGGACTTAATAAGCCTAGGTTATTCTAAGGGTAAACTCATTATCAGTCTTTAATGTACCAAGTCACCCGTTCAACGCTGGAAAACAGCATAGATACTATGGCAAAGGTAGGCCTAGTTACGTTCCACAAGGTGTCCTTATCGCTCCGACCAAGTTGCGAAAACGGGGCCAAATCAACATTATCAGTTTTAAAATCGCTTTAACCGACATTGGATGATTAAGTTATTCTTTAAGACTTCAAAACATGGTCAGCATAGCTAGCCCCAGCTACATTGGCTTGTAGACAAGCTCATTGTTGATATGGAAAAATGTATTGCTGTTTAAATAGAAGGATAAACTAGTTCAGGTGTACATCACGGGTGGGGATAAAATAACATAAAATGAGGGGGAACCTGGCACGAACTTGCTATTCTGGCGGCAAATATCCCCATAAATATTAACTCTAGTCATCATAGATTGCATTAGACGGTATATGACTGTTCTTTGAATTTTCCCATATAAAATATGTGGACCGTATAGTGTCATTAGATTTCCTATTGCCTTGCTACTCAACAAAATCCTTTTAGAGGATTCCTATATATGAGATGAATTCAACCTATTTCTTTTAAGGCGATGAGGACTGGAAGGACTTACGTTTCCATTGAATTTAACATTGCGTTACTTTACTAAAGATATTCACATCCGGGTTGGACTCGAGTGCAGTTTCGACTTCACCTGTGTCTCATCAGCATCCCCAACGGGACTCGAACTCGGATAGTTTAGACACGTTAACTACTACGCCACACTGCCACAAGTGCCCTTTGGGCTACGGGGCAGATGTGAATTTCAAGGAAGGCTGGCTTTTTCCTACATTTCATTCTGTAATGGGGTTTGCTATAGCAATCGACTATATTACTCAGTTTGGGTTTATAAGTAAAATTTCGAGGCCACGAGTGGATAATATGTATATGATCTATTCACACTACTTCGTTAAAGTAAAGGGGGATAAAATAGGGTAAATACATATGATTTACTGGTAGTCTCGTAAACCTATTTGTAAAGTAATGTAGTCTATTGCAATAGCAAATACCAGTGCCATTTATAGGCACTTTCATCCCAGAATGTAATATGGGAAAATGTCTGGCCTATCTAGAAATGTTCATCTGCCTTATGACCCAAGGGCATTCGTGGCAGTGTGGTGAAGTGGCTAACGTGTCGATATTATACACTGCAGTATCACGGTCCAACTCCCGCTGGCCGGGCTGATGGGATCAACTCGGGGTCGAATTTGCAGTCCAATATAGCCTGAACGAGAATACATTCTTGAGATCAAGGCATTGCGAAATTCAATTAAAACGTAAGGCTATTGTGGGAACATTAAGCTACCAGTCCTTATCTCCTCAAACGAAACATATACAGTGTACTTGCAGTCTCGAAAACCTACTTATAAAATAAAAATTTAGAATTCCCATTCAAGATACACTAACGATCTCGAAGCCTACTTACTTACTTCCCAATCAACTACTGACTAACTTCGGGCTTGGGAACAAAGAAACTCATGATATTAAATACAAACTCTTTAGTTTTCTAAAGAGCAAAAGTACACAGCATTTGGTATCTTTCTGAAACAATTACAATATTACACAGCCAGACTGGATTTCAAAAAATCCTTTAATAATTTTGCGTCATTCCCCAAACTACAAGGAAGTCCTTCTTCGGCGTTTAACGAGGTCAATTTACGAATCTCTTAAAGCCAAGTTTTGATAAGTATTTAAAGGTCCATTTATATGCCTTATTTTAAGCATTTTATTTTCTTACTAAAACATGCATTGTCTGACAATTGCTATGCCAGCTGGTTAACATAAAAGGGAATAACTTCAACGTTTAAAGGATAAGTACTGAGCATTAGAGCTCAAAACTGGCAGCTTCAACTAAATGAACCATCTCGTATTAATTTAAAAATTTGACTACTTAATTTCACCCATAGAATAGATGCGTCTAAGAACAATTGTGAACAGTTTTGTGAAAGTCAAAAGGTAAATTTTGCCTCACTGAGATGAGTTTACCTCAGAATGCCCGAGAAAACCAACAGGAGCCCAAGCAGGTTCGTGAACTTCAAGTGACAACACCTTGCCACTTTGTAACACAGAGTTGAAATCATGAGGTCTACTTCACTGTGAGTGAAGTAAGTCTTATACAGACCTGCCTGACTAACTAGGTCTCGGAACTAATAGAACATCCTTAATAAGAGCTTTATTCACCCCAGGTCGAATAAAGAGATGTAAGGATGATAGTTTAATTTACTTAATCAGAAGAGTTGATATTAACTATCTTGTTACAGCCTCGAAGATCCTTTATGAAGCATAAAAGCATCACCAGTGGGTCGATGAGGCAAACTCCTATTTGCTAATACAGTCAACTACACTACTCCTATTTAGATTAAGTAGGTTTCGAAGGCACCAGTAGATTTTTATAAGAGTTTTTTTCACCCCAGGTCGAATGAGGAAATGAAAGAATGATAGTATAATTTACTCAATCAGAAGAGTTGATATTTACTATCTTCTTACAGCCTCGAAGCTCCTTTATGACCCATTTAAGCATCACCAGTGGGTCTATGAGGCAAACTCATATTTTCTAATACAGTCGACTACACTACTCATATTTGGGTTAAGTAGGTTTCAAACCACCAGTAGATTTTTATAAAAGCTTTATTCACTCCAGGTTGAATAAGGTGATGAATGACTGTTTGTTGAATTTTTCCAAAATTAGACGAGCTTATATTTACTATATTCCTACATTCTCATGAACTTTACGAACATCATTAGCGAATATATAAATGAAAAAAAGACGAGCCCTTTAGTGATCGTATCAGTGGGCCGTCGCACTACCATGATGAGGGTGTTGAGGTCTCTCGGCTCTACAATATAGCCGCACACATAGGCTCTGTGAATCATTCGTATGGCCCACTGCATTGGAATCCAATACTCCAGCTCGGCATTGCACATCTGCGGAAACATTTCGGTTGCCGTTATGCATTCCGACTTTGTCCAGCCCACGAAGCGTCGACGCAGTCGCTTTATCCAAGATTCATTGCCAACTGGCTCCGTGACCGGCCTAGCCAGAGAGACTCGATCTCTCGAACACGAGGTGGGCATCTTCTTGACGGTCAGCCCTACGTCGTCTTTTGTAGAACAGGATCCGTCGTCCCCGAGGCTAGAATGGCGTCGGGGAAGTCCAATCTGCTGCTCGGCGGCGTGCAGTCCGAGGAACGGCGAATGGGAGTGACGGCCCAAGGCAGACTCCTGGAAGCAGTAGTGTTCCGGCAAGAGGGCCTCATGCCTCGATTGCGCCTCTTCGTCCTCCATCTGGGCTCCACACGGCCCTTTCTGCTGTCTTTCACCAGAACACACTTTCACTCGCCTCACGCCCATCCCAGGCGCCTGCATCAACTGAACTGCCTCGAGATTCCGATCGCTGAAAGAGTCCTCGCTGTGATCCTCTTTGCTGCTCGGATAGTTGATTTGCAGCGTCTTCGAGCCTGAACTGGCCAGCCAGTGAAAGGAAGAACGTTTGTACAGGTTGAGCGAGACACTGTGCAGAGAAGAGGTACGCGAGTCGTCTGGGTTGGACTTCGGGTCCGAGGTATCCGTGTCACTGTCGTTGCTACTGGAGCTGTAACTCCGTGGCAGCCTAGGGCCCTCTGTCGCCCTCCAATTCGTGTCCATCTGAGCAGGCTGACCCTTGCTCGGACCGTGCATCTTGGCCTTGTCGAAGTCGCTGGCCGCTTCACTTTCAGCCACCATCTCTGCCTCTCTACCGCCTCTTCTGCTATCGCCATCCTGGCCTTTGTTTGTCGGCACGGCCAGCTTTTCTTTTGCCTCCTGCTCGAAGGCAAGCGGACTCAGAATTATGTGACTTGTGTCGAGGCCGTCTTCGCGGGCTGGACTCACGTCAAATCCGGCAGGCGGCTTACTTTCCTGCACCGTTTTGGCTTTTGCAACGCCCTTCTTTTTGGTAAATCCATGCGGAAAGAAGCATGAGGCGGTGGTAAAGTCGCTCTTGCTGGATCGAGCACTGCCACTCAGTAAGCCTTCTTGGCCTGAAGCAATATACTCGAACGTCTGGATCTCGGACTCAGTGACCATTTGCTTGAAATATTGCCTGATTTCTATAATAAATGTAAATTAAATAAAACCTTAAACACAATTGAATATATGAAGACCAAGATGTTGTGGCCTCTGGTATGGTCGCAGTCTACTTTCGATTTATAGAAATGGGTTGACCTCGTTGTCGCAATTTGGTCTTGTTGTCAGGGCGACTTAGTAGAACGCACCTAGTCGGATGCTGGGAATCATGACAACTACTATGGCTGACGACTTCGGACAAGTGCGTTCTACTAAGTCGCCCTGACAACCATACCAAGTTGCGAAAACGAGGTCAACCCATGTCTTAAACACAATGTTTGTTTGCGTATACTTTTTTATTAGCAAAATGGCATACACTTCGAGTGCCAATCGTCACATTAATATGCAATGGCAGTGGAACAAAATCCAATTATAATTTATAATTTATTTGCAGTGCTTATTATTAGCTATTGAACATTAAAGAATGATTAAGCCCTAAAAAACTTAGTAGAGCAACATATTGTGCTACGTAAACCATGAGGCTGAACCAAACGAAGCTCAGATTTTCATTCTCGGCCTTCCAATATAGTGGATGAGAGGCAATCAGGCCCAAAACCATTAATAAACTGACATCCTTTAGGGCTTGTCTCCTCCTTTATTTTCTCGATTGTTGATTAATTATTTATATTGTTTTAGTTATTTACTTATTATAATTACTTGCTTATCTACTTGCTTTTTATGCTAATTTATTCAGCTGGAAGAGACCTTCTAATGTAACTAGTGTAACTAGACATTCTAGTCATTTTTTTTCCCAATTTTAGGCGATTTTAACTTATGTGCTACTCAAGACTGAGTAATTGGTTCACATTTTGATAAAAAACTCTGAATTCGACTAGTTACCATGCCCAGGTATTCAACCGTCTCGCAAGTTTTCAATAATGTTGCGCATCAAGCTTTAGTGATCCAGCTGAAAGCATCACGTCCAGATAGATGTATGGGGGAAATCATAATGTTTTTATGATGTATGAATGATATTAACGTTTTCTATTTGGAGTATTCAGATTTTAACTTCTAATGATAAGAAATCATGTAATCAGTGGGTGGTAATTTTGGCAGTTAATGTTTTAATTCCCAGCCCAGATTTATGGTTAGGAAGTATACCTGATTTTGCACAATCAGTTTACCTTTAATTTTGTGTGATGCCCGATTTTAAAAATAACAGTTGAACAAGTTACCCAATCGGGCTCAGTAGTGTTTGAAGGGACGTTTAAAATAATCTCGGTTTTGAAGTCTGATTATAATTTTTATCCAATATTTTAACTACCCCATTTTAGCGCCGTTTTATGGGCAATTTAACAAAAATGCACGTATGTTCGAAACACAGTTTTTCTAGAAAAGTAGGTAAGTTGCTATTTTATCTGCAAATAGTGAATAAAAGAAGCTGATTTAGTATTCGTTGTCTTTGGATTAATTACAGTGATCATTAGCTCTACTGATTTTGTTTTACTTCATTTTTAGAGCTTAGTCATATTTTCAGGAGAACCTTGAAGAATCTACTACGCAAGTGCTCAGAGCAGATTCGCTGGTTACGAGTGGAGATGCACCGAAGAGTGCCAGCAGAACATTGCCTGTCCTCATCTGAAGATGCCAACTTTGAGCTACCCTACACGAAAGATTACCCTCAAAAATAACCCAGCCATTTGCAGGGCAGCAGGACAGTGCGAAACAGTGCGGAAACGATATGAAAACTCTTAAGATATAAGTTTAAGCCGTGCCAAGATTGAGGCAGCAATAATCTCTTTTATACAAAAACGCCTTCCATTCCAGCTTCAACAATTGTTAGGAAAATGAGGTTGTAAGGAATTTGGTCAAACACAGTTCCCTTGACCGACGTAACTCCGAGGTAGAGTTGAACTACCTACCAACTTGCTTATGGGACTAGGACAAGTGTGATCCCATCTCATATATGTTTACGATGAAAGCAGCAAAATCAAAATATAAGCGAAACTCTAGTTTTATACTCCGGGTAGTGAAGCAGACTTCGGATTCGAGAGATGTTATGATACTATATGGGAACTTTTAGGCAGGTACCTTGTGCCTAGTCCGATAAGTAGGGCAGAAGTATCCTAGTAACCAAAAGCACTTTTAATTTTTTCTGAATTTGACCCTTTGTCTAACACAAGCAACTCGCCTTTTAGAGAGCACATGCTCTATGGAG